GTGCAGTTACTTCCGCTTAATCAAGCTGATTTTCCGCACAGCGCTCTGTTTCTGAGCATTCCAGAGGTGTCACGCTTAAGTGCTACTGGGTGGAAACACAGGTGGAATTTTTGGCCCTGCCCTGGACTTGATGGGAGACATTCTTGGCTGAGGAAAAGCGAAGGGATTTAGCTCTGGCCTGCTTCATGAATTTTAACAGATGTAAAGCAATGAATAAAACATCTTAATGGAGAGCGCTTTTGAGAGAGGGAGGAAGTAAACACATGGAAAAAGATATATTTGAATAGAACACTATAGTACTGTATGACACACTATATTCTTCATACTAATTTTTAAAAACATAATGCATAATTGCAACACTAAACATTTCAAGCAGGAGCATCATGAATTTCTTTCACAAGACCTCATTATTAATTTTTTTTGAATAGAAATGTCTTAAAATGAACAGCATTCGTGACTCATACTTCCATAACTGGACACATCTCTGAGTAAAACAAAAAAGCAATAACGTGGGAGGGGCTTGATTTTATCCATTAGAAATTGATAAGACAGTGAAAAGTAGGTGTTATGTAGGCCTATAGGTTTACAAAACTTACGTGCCCTTCAAGTCAAGTCATAAATATAGTAATTGTGAGTTCCGAGCACGTGAAGTAAAGTCGTGCGAAACTCAAAATTGTAGATTGCGATGTTGAATCTCAATTTGAAACATAGAAACACTGATCTGTAATACAGACATTATAATATATAAGACAGAGATCAGTGAGCAAAAATCAAGTCTGTAGCAACTGGTATCAAATTAATCACATGAATTTCATGCTTTGCTTTTTGTATAACAAAAACTTTTAGTTGTGATATCATGCATAAATGGATATCATGCATGATGGAAATTATATTTTGAATTTCAATGTAGTTTTCTGGGTTCATTGCTCAATATAATTCTTTTGTTTAGGCTACTTCCTTGTCATGTTTCCAAATGAAATGTGTGATCATAACGAACATCCGACGAGTTTCCCAGTTGCACTAGAAAGAAGAATTAATCATGGCAAACCATTTTGGACATTCTATAAAATAGCATTAGCAAGATAGCATTAGCCACTGAATGAATCATCTTGCTTCCAGTTAAGACTTTTCTGTAGCATATTGCACATTTTGGCAAATAGTAGGCAAAGAGAGCGTACAGAAAACATCACTCACACAGTTTTCTACAGAAATATTATGAGTAGTATGTTAGCACGCTAATCCAAACATAGCTGGAGGTCTAGAAATACTTCTGTCAGCTTCCTCTTTCCCCCACCGCTCATTGCCAATGCAGGATCTGATTTATGAGTCAGAAAGGAGCACACAGGATTGCCGTCATACAAGCTTACAACAGACATACAGTTTCCTCTCTTGTTGCTAACACCCCCCACTCTCTATTCATCTCCTTTGTGAGAGAGACTGACAGAGAGCGTAAAGCTAGCCTCATAGCATGTTAGCAGTTGTGTGTTCACAAACTGTGGTAAATCATTGTCAAAACATGATACTTTTCATCCAAAGACACCAACTGATATCGGTCGACTTTGTGTCATTTGCTGTTTAGCGTGGGTGCAGATGTACAGAGCCTTTCACACGGACTGTACTATCATATAGACAGTCCCGCTCCTTCTTTCCTTTCACAGAGTACAGTAAAACGAGTCAACGGGGAAATAAAACCATTAACCTTTCACCTCTCCGCAAAAATAGCAAGGTCGCAAACAGACAGCTGCAGTATGAAGTCTGACTTCAATATCCCCGTGTGCGGCGAGGTCCCCCTCCTTCCGCGTCTCTCAGATACGGTCTCTTCGTACAACCGACTTCAAATGTCTCAATTACCCTCGGCGTGATGGGAAATATGCTAATGCATAGCACTATCGCTCGCTTGCTGGGAGCTCACCACAGCCCTGCGATTAGTTTGTTCTGAGTGAGCTCGAAAAATTGGTGCAATCCCTCGCCTTCCAGACCTCCTCATCCCTCGATTCCCGTGTATAAAGGAAGATCCCATGCATGTGTAACGTAATCATGCTAAGTGCCTATAGAGGTTGAGACCTTTGCCTCTATTAAAGAGAGCCCTTTAAATGTGCCACCTGAGAAATGTGTGAAATCGGCAAAATGGGAAAGAGGCCTCTGAAGAAAATGACGCTCAGTTGGAAATGGAAGAGAATAGAGCCTTGCTGATTTGCTGTTACTATTGTTTATACTTACGGTAAGGTCTTTGAACAACCCCCTAAACCTAACTATTAGGTAATTTTTGGCATGTAACTTATTCTGAATGATACCTCAAAAATTTCCGCACAATTGCAGCAAAAATTTGTATGCTTAATCATGATTTTACAGAGACAGACTGTATATTTTATATTTTTAGCAGTATGCTAGCATATAAATGCTAACGAAGCTAGCAGACACAACCTAAATGGGTTTCACAAGGTCTTTATGATGCCATATGAAAGCCTGTTTCCATCTAAAGGTTTTTTTTTTTAGCAAAAATAATTATAAAGGTAACTGAGTTTAAAATACTCACACTGTGACATAGTTGTGAAAGTCACAATTGCAAGATGGACAATTGTGAACGTTATATTGGACAATGTGACTTTACTCTTGCAATTGTGACTATTTCTTGCAGCTTTATAAAGTTGTAATTTTGAGATATAAAATCATAATTTCCTAATTTTGTATTTATTTTAACGTGAAAACACGTTTCAATAATTAACCAAGATTAATAAAATGATCACAACACCATTGTCTTTTTTTTATCTGTATTTTAATAGGACAATGAATTGATTCTATTTATTCATAGACACTGCACCGGACTAAACAACTGGTTTGCATTTTTTTTTATCGTTTTTCAATAATTCATGTATTGTAATGTCCATAACACAAGCTGTAACAAATTCCAAAGGACCATCGTCACCTGGTAGTCATTTAAATGTACATTATATAACAAACAGGAAGTCTGTTTTAAAAGTCCCTTGTGGATCCTGAAAAAAGAAAACAAAAACAAAACAGAAAAAGAAACGCACACGTTCTCTGTGAGTCTGTGAGCACATGCACTCAATCAATCCTGTCCTCCAAACGGGGGGAAAATAAAAATCTCCAAACCTAAACAGATGGTCCAGCCTTTCCGGTCGTTGATTTAGAAAGTAAAATGTGAGACATTAAATTTTCTGTCTACTGAAATTAGGAGAAAAGTAGAAACTGTAATAAATTTCACTACACCGAAGAACAAATTTACAGCACAGGTGCACTAGCAACAATCTCTCATAGTTTTCATCTTTTCTTTTTTTTTTTTTGTATTTTACAACTGAAATTCACTTATAATATATAATCAACACCATTTGAGTTTTAAAAATATGCATTTGTGAGATTCTATTCCCCCGGTAACCTTTTTAATACAAAGCATATCTTTACAAAAAGAATCTTGTTGCATAAGTCACATGGTAAAGCAAGAATGGGTGCAGGCATTGTGCAGTAGGGCAGTGGTGTGTGTGTGTGTGTGTGTGTATTGAGCAAGGCGCATTAAGAGCTCCTCACCAAAAATTGCACTGACATTGGTATAAAAAATATCAACATTATAGACTATTTTCTTGCCAATTCCAGACATTAAATGGCAGAGAAGAGATAATTCATCTTTCAGGTGCAGACATTTTTTAACACTTTTTAATTAATAATAATACATTTTTAATGAATCTCACAGACATATTTCTGCCCAAAATCAAAATAAACTATATTTTGCTTACATAGTCTAAACAGATTCTGTGCATTATTTTCAGGACAATTAAGCACAACACCTCCAAAACTGTCATTTCTGTAATGCCAAAATACAATTTTCATTACTGTAATGGCATAATTTACATTTCTGAAGTATTTTTACAATCATTATGAAGCATTATACATTTGCTTTGAAAAAATACTGTATTGCAGTAATGAAAATTGAGAATGAGAAATACAAAGAACTAAAACATATGGTAATGAGACTTTGCGTGGAGTGGAGTGTGCTTAATTATCATTCAAATCTTTTTTAAATTGTATTTTTTAAAACAATTTTAATTAAAATGTCATTTATTCTCTTTTGATTTTGAAGTGAAACAAACCTGAATGTGAGATTCACGTTTTTAAGTTCAACCCTAAGCATGTTCGGCTGATCACAATGATATAATAATCTCCAAAACAGTACTCCAAAACAATCTGATTGGATGATTCTCAATGTGTCATCACACACAACTTGATACCATTATCCAGAAATAATAGACAGATATAAGAATGTTTGCTGATAAAAGTACATCTTTAAAGGGAAGGAAGAAAAAAATTCCTGGACGGGCTCTATGCTCTGGTTGGCCCGTTTCATTATATGTACGACAACATGCACAATCATTTTAACGAAGATAATAAATAAGCACGTTATTTTTCTTTTCATAGTTAACTCACAAACTTTGGAGTATAAAACGGAATGGCTAGTATTAGAGCTCAAGTCCACAATCCTCCACTGTCAGTTTGAGAAAGTCAAATATATTGAAACACAAACGGAGTTTCCTTTTCTGTTTAGTTTTTGCCACAAAAAAAAAGAAAAAAAAAGAAAGAAGAAGGATAACAAACATCTCATCAGGCCAGGCAAGGACTGAACACAACATGGGTGGGACAGAGAGAGTGTGAGACGAGATTTTCTTTGTTTATCACCTGTATCATCAGGTTAATCTCTCAAAACAGCTGTTTTTACACACTCGTTGGGTTGGAAAGATCAATACTATATAACTAGACAAAAGTAAAAAGCACACATTCTGACAGAAAGAGCCAATCCTTATTGCTCATGCCAAATTGAAAAAAAGACAAAGACTAATGCGAAACATGCAAGAGATCGGTCTCGATCACACACGCACGCAAAAGCATCCGACAGCACACCCTAGTAGAGCCCAGCTTTACTTTGTAGTATCAAAAGTGTGTACAGCTGTGTAAAAGCTTGTAAAATCCCGCCCCTGCTGGCACACTCCTTATTCGTCCCAAATATCTGCCGATCCCATCAAACTGAAGACAACAGATTCAAAGACTCACAATACTGAAAAATTATAGAAGCTGTAACAAACACAATGTTCACTGTTTTCCTCTATGGGTTGAGTGAACGCTTATTGGACCCCAGCATGAGTCACATGATGTATGGGCCTAGAGTTGGAGCTGATGGAGCTCACAGAGACGGAGAGCTCTGGGCAGGAGCTGATTTAAAAAAAACATATTGCAGTGGTTCTCAATTCCAGTCCTGGCGACCCACCGCTCTGCATATTTTGCATGTCTCTCTTATTTAACACACCTGATTTAGATCATCAGCTCGTAAGAAGAGAGCTCCATGCATGAACTGTGTTTTCCGATTGACGGGGTCCCTACACAGCTCTCTACTCCCTGAGCACAAGAAATCCGTTGAAGTTTACTTCGCTTTGGAACATTCATTCACGGATTTGCGCTATGCCACAACCTGCAGCGTCTTCACACACAGATGAAACTTGCTAGAGAAGTTTGACATAATACACCTCTGTAAATGCAGTGCGGTGGGTCGTGAGGACTGGAATTGAGAACCACTGACATATTGCATACTACTATACACTTAATTCTACAAATACATTCTCGATTATAAGCACTACATAAACCCCTTCTCCAAACCCTTTCTGGAGAAACTCACCATAGTCAGTATTATTAACACTTCTAAATAAGACACATCTCTGACTTATATATATTCAGACCACAACCAGTATCAGCATATTCCTTCTCCTTATGTCTGTGTAAGTGTGCATGAGTGTTGTGAAAGCACCTGTTGCTCATTGGTCTCTCTCTGATGTGGATGGTGCTGAGCTCCTGTATGCTGTTCCTGCGGCCACCGGCCATGTTGTAATTGGGGACATTGAAGCTTTTGCGCTTGTTTCTGCGCGTGCAGCAGGAGGACAGGCCGTGTGGAGAGGAGGACAGCGAGGAGGAACGGGACATGGACGGCTTTGTTAGGGAAACCTCCATACAGTTTGTCTCGTAAGTTTGCTCATCCACAAACTCATGATTCTGAGAGAGAGAAAGAGATGGGAATTATGTATCACTTTAAGGACTGATTTCTGCATTTGATTATTATATTAATGTGGTTACTGATTATTATATTTAAAAAATAATACACAGTTGTAAAGTTTCAAAATGCATAAACATGAGACGTTGATGCGGTTTTAATTAAACATAATATAATGAATCTACAGGTGCATCTCAATAAATTAGAATGTCGTGGAAAAGTTCATTTATTTTAGTAATTCAACTCAAATTGTGAAACTCGTGTATTAAATAAATTCAATGCACACAGACTGAAGTAGTTTAATTGGTGGGTTTTTGTTAAATGTGAGCCAAAATCATCACAATTAAAAGAACCAAAGACTTAAGCTACTTCAGTCTGTGTGCATTGAATTGATTTAATACACGAGTTTCACAATTTGAGTTGAATTACTGAAATAAATGAACTTTTCCATGACATTCTAATTTATTGAGATGCACCTGTATATTAGAACAATGTAATTAATAATATAATATGTGTATATAGAGTATCATCTGAGGAGTCCTTAAATCCAGATTCACTGTAGCTTTGGCTGTTCCTCAAACAGCCCTGCATCCAGCAGGACTGGAATTTTTCTTTCAAATGTCTCGAGTCTAGTGCCCTAGGAAAGCCAGAGCGGGTCACAGTCTGTTCTCTAGACTGTCATGAGTCTAGCTGGCAGGGGACAACAGTGCCTGTCATTTTCATGCAAGAGTCTGACTAATGATTTCTCTTGAGAGAAAAACTGCACATATTTGTGGCAAACCCACAAGCACTGAGGTGCAGAAGTCGTCTGGCACTGGTTAATGTACAGACAAAAAAATAAAAAATTAAGGTTGGTCCACTTTCACCCTTATTTTTACCTCTGCCAGAGTTCTCAAATGGAGTTTAATTCAAATATGGCACGCAAAAAAAGCCATTTATTGTTATCATGTCATAAGCGATCACATCTTACCAGGTTTTGCAGCTAATAAAGACTCAGGCTGTTCCTCAAACAAAGCTATTTTTAGAAAACGTGGCCTTTTTGTTTAAGAAAAACCTGGAACATTGCACTTGTATACGTGAAAAAAAAAAACATTTAATACTTTTATGGTGCTTTTGCATCATATTCTGACACAATTTTCATTTTTGTGAGAACTATCAATTTAAATACAGTCAATATGGACACCTGACCAGTAGCTACTAAACCTACTGAAGGTAGCTATTGAAGGTACTGAAGAAAACACCTGTATATAATAAGATCAAACAATGCAAAAGCTAAATTATTGAGAACAGCTTCCATTTATGTGTGAAGTTTTCTCCTGAGGTTCTTACCGTGGTTTTCTCCAAGCAGTGCAGAAGATGGTGATGATGGGTATCAAAAGTGGGGTTGGCCTTACATACCAAAGCTTGGCCAGCCTCTTTTGATGCCTTATTGGAGAAACAGAAAACACTGCTTATCAACCTATCAGCACAGAAAGAAACTGAAAGAAAAGACAAGACAGCAAGGCCCGAATTCTCACAATGATCCAGCAACATTGAGACACTGTTGAAGAATGTTTGGCTAGTTCATTGTGACAACAGCAGGCTCTAGGTTACTGCCACGTCCTGTTCTCTCAACATCACAACCTTGACGGATGGCTCTTGGTTCAAAAACAGTGGATAACAGGAACAAGAGTATTCTGTGTCTGTCAATATCTACTGAATTTGTATCCAGGATATACTAAATGATGTTTTATTAACAAAGTTCGGGAGGAGCATGTTCGATAATTAACCTAATTAACAAGATAAGTGGTAAATATACACAACAGACTTACCTCTGTTCATTGACAGTTTTCTAGCATCCCTCCACCACCCCATCTCCTCACTTCTAACTATTCCTATCCCGACCTGGGATGGGGGGAGTACTCTGGGTTTGGGCCAAATTCCGAGCTCGGAGCCCTCCCCTTGGACAGCACGCCAAATACGCATAACCTTTACTCTATTTATTATAAGTGTGAACTTGTGAATTATTGGAAAAGTATGTGGAAAAGTTAAGCGTCTTCTGTATTTGAACCATGATGGCCACCGTATCCAAATTCACTAGAGCCTTTATGAATCAGCATGACGCAGTGACCAGACGACTAGGGCAAGGGTGCACAATCCTGCTTCTGAAATGCCAGTGTCCTGCAAATTTTAGCCCCAACACATTTGCCTGGAAGTTTCTAGTAATCTTGAAGACCTTGGCTGGTTCTATTGAACAAGCACCACCCCCAACCCAGAACTTTTTGCCTACTGTTTTATGAATATTTCGGAATTCGAACTCTTTTTACATTCTGTTTTCGCCTACTCTATAGTAGGGAAGTATGCGATTTCGGATGCAGCCCTTAATTAGTTGGTTCAGGTGTGTCGGATTGGAGCTAAATTTTACATGATAGTGGCCCCCCAGGAGCAGTATGGAACACCCCCGAACTAAGGCACTGTTTATCGAGAGCCTGCGTATGGTCAACAGGCACTTGATCAACACGCCCCGTGGTCTCTGCCTCACATTAAATCCCGCCTCCCATTCAGATGTTGGCCAATCAATGACATGCAGCTCAGACAGTTTCATTCCTCCATGTGATGTGGTCTGATGATGTCATGAAGACAGAGAGATAGAGAGTGAGCACAGACCAGTCCGGACTGCAGTGAGAAAATCACTCAAAAATGCATGTTAAAAAATGCATGGAGCACAAGAGTAGTAGTTGTTGGAAAAAGCAGTTAAAACAACAAGTAGACAAGATACAATAGGTTATAAAGAGATAAAACCCAAAAGCAAAGTAGTTGAGAGATGGAGAAAAGGGTTGCAGTAAAAAATAGGGGGGCCCCGTTGTTACTGGAGCGGATGGCCGTGGCCCCCGCAAGGCCAAGCCGCATGCACCGCACTGCCATTGGACAAGATGTCACACGATTATTGTCTCATGACCAGCCACCAGGAAGAGGTGCCGGCGCACCCGGTCTAGGCGTGAGAAAGAGCGAAAGACAGAGGGAGAGAGCTAGAGGAACACCACAGAAGCGTCTGGACCTCGGCCCCCTGGCGGAGAGGCAGGGGGGGAAGAGGGGTCCACATGCACCAGCCCATCATGTCACGTTCCATTAAGAGAGACCCCAGCGACTTGGTTTCCACGGTTACCTCCTCCTCTGCGTCTGCCAGCATCCCATTGCGTTTGTACTGCAAATAAGTATTAGCGCCACCGCTCTTCGTCGCACGAATTC